CCGGTAGCTGTCGTTTGGGGAGTTGGGCATTTGAGGCTCCGACTGAGATGGCTGCCACTCTCCAGCGTATTGAACGGCTGTCCAGTCGAGTGGTGCGCGTGCTGGGCTGTAACCCGGGTCCCATGACCCTGCAGGGCACGAACACCTACCTGGTGGGGACCGGCCCCAGGTAAAGTCCCGCCCAGCCCCCACACCATACTCGGGCGGGGTTGCTGGCGGCTGTGGCTTCGAGGTGTGCGCGGACGCGCCTGTCCCGGGCCCGGCAATCCCAATCTGGCCCAACGTGGACGCCCGGATGCTGGAACTCCGCTAGGTCAGGACGAGCCTGGGTGGGAACCTGCCTACAAACCCCGGGCCGTGGGCTCGCGGCGACACCGTAGCGCAGCGTCGAACGAACTGCCGGTAGTTTCCAAGGTTGTAAATCTTTATGGGGGCAGATGAGTGTACCTTTATTCCTCCACTACTGACCTTTGGATTAAAAAGTCATCAGCCTCACCAGTTTAAAGACTGCACCACAAAGGCTAGGTCTGCAAATACCTAATGGCAGAAGGAAAGAGCAAAACCCCTCACTTGCTGTTTTTTAAAGTCAGTTTTACTTTGCTTGGTGTTTTGAAAAGTCAGGGTAAACGTCCTTAGACTGTTGAAAGGCCAGGATCGCCTGTGGTGTTTTTTTGTTTTGTTTTAACCGATCAAGAAAGGGTAGGTTTACTTGACTCCTCACCTGACTGGTGTCTTGCCCAGAGTCACTTCACAAAAGTGATTACTAATGAGACTAAGGCCGTTTTCTTAACTCAGCAGCAGAGGGCAGAATTTCCTTTCAATTTGCTTGAGTTTATATGTCAGAAAGGGGTCCTTATTTAGCCCCTTGGAAGGAGGAGGTGACCATTGCTAATTGGGGTTTTTATGATGGGTGCCATTAAGATATCTTGCAGGTATCTAAACCTGTCTGTTTTCGTAGAAAATATTCCTCTTGGTCAGCTGTATTCTGTTTCAGTGGAATTGTGCAGAAATGCTGTCGTTTACTGCATGTCTTAAGCATCGAGCACCTTTTGTGTATGTGACCGTTAGTATACTCTATTGCCATAAATTCATTCTGACTCATAGCAACCCATGATGAGTTCCGAGCGAGCCGACAGCCTCCGCAGACAGCCTCGTCTTTTTCCTTACAGCGCAGCAGGGTTTGAACAGATGACCTGGTTAGCAGCCAAAGGCTTACCTGACAGCACCACCGACCTCCCTAGCCAGACATGCTGCCCCCTCGTGTTAGAGAGGAGAACTGTCCCATAAGAACTGCACCAGAAGTTACTTTCTCAGTGCCTCTGGGGGATGGGTTTGAAGAACCAACGTTTAAGGTAGTAGAGGAGGCAAACCTCTAGGGCCACCCAAGGGCCCCATCCTATATAGCAGGACATAAAAAGTAAGATGGACTTCCTCTTGAGCACGGAGTTTTAATTGTGCAGGTAAGACAATACCGTGAACAAAATATAGGTGATTGCTAAGTACAATTTATTGATTTTTTAATTTGTTTTTAGTATCTTTTTCCAGGAAATCAGAATTTTGGAAGCTCCAGAATAGAAGGGATATGTCAGTCATCCAAAGGGTTAAGTTAAGAGTAATCAAGTCCAGGTCAGGTAGAAACAAGCTCTTTAGCCTTGGTCCCAAATCTGAGAGATAGAGAATTAAAGAGGGGGGTGGAGGGCAGGGGGGGTGGGGGGGTGCAGGAGGTGTGGCAAAAATGTTTGGCTGGGACACATAAACTAGTGTTAATAAGCCCAAAGGAATTTTCTTCTCGCCAGCCAATGCTTCTCTAAAGCCAATACTGGAAATGATCATTACATAAAATCAAAATTACTCTAGACAGTCTCTTGGGAAAACACCATGGTGGAAATCAGTAAACTGTCTCCCTCAGTAAGTTCAAAACAACCTTCTGCTCTCCCAGCATTTGAACATGCGACTGTTTCTGTTCAAAACCCAGATGGCCTTTTATGTAGGTGCTATGTGATGTGATAAATACATACTACCTCCTGGTCTGTGTGCAAGTCCCCCGGAGCAGAGTGACGTTTCCTGCTATCCCCGCTCTTCACAGTGTTACCCAGTTTGTTATGCGTCACACAGTTGAATGAGTGCCTTTGCATGATCAATAAAATACAAGTAAGCATCTTTCTCTTACTCTCTGCTTTCAGCCAAGATCGATCTGATGTCAGCAGTGGTATCCTTCATTCCATATCCTCTTCTGAATCTGGATTGAGTTTCTGGCAGCTCCCTGTTGATCTGCTATAGACCAATTTTGAAATATCTTCAACAAAATTTTAGTTACATGTGATATTTATGATATCGTTCTATAACTGGGGCATTCTGTTGGTCCACCTTTCTTTGGAATGGGTACAAATATGAATCTCTTCCAAGAGATTTTCCAGGTAGCTGTCTTCCCGATTTCTTGGTATAGGGCAGGATGTGTTTCCAATGCTGCATCCGTTTGTCGAAACACTTAACGTTAGTATTCTCTGAATTCCTAGAGCCTTGTTTTTCAACACGGAACTCTGGTCATTTATTGGTTACACATTGGGCTGCTACCTTTAAGGTCAGCAGTTCGAAGTCACCAGCCACTCCATAGGGAGAAAAATGAGGATTTCTACATACTTAGTATGTTCTTCTATTTGGGTTTTCTAACTCCCAAGTCTTTGTACATTTCATTATTATGCCTTGTCTTCTCAAACTGCCCTTTGGAATTTTTTGTTCAGCTTCCTTAATTCATTATTTCTTCATTTACTTTACATTCAAGAGCAAATTTTGCAGTTTCTTTGGATACCCATTTTCATCTTTTTAATTGTATTTTTCTTTCTTCATATATGATGTTATCTCCCAACTAGTCTTGACGTTAGTCATTAGTGTTCCATGTGTTAAATCTGTTCCTAAGATTTCCGTTCAGACAGAATACATTCAAGGTTGTAGTTTATCTCTCATGCACGTTTTGAAAGTTTCCTCAGCTTCAACCTGAACTTGCATGTGAGCATTTTATGGTCTCTTCTGCAGTCAGCACCTGGCCTTGTTTGGGCTGATGATAATGAACTTCTCCAACATCTCTACCACAGATGTAATTAATTTGATTTTCTGTGTCTTCCACCTGACATATAGTCAGGTGTATAGTCCCTGTTAGATTGTTGAAAAAGAGGTAGTTTACTAAAGAAGTTATCAGTCTTTAAAAATTTCATCATGGAATTTCCAGATTTTGTATCACCAAGTTCATATTTTCCTTCCTCTTTGTTTCCAACTTTCGCATTCCAATCTCCACTCATTATCAGTGCATCTTGATTACATGCTCCCTCAATTTCAGACTGAAGGAGTTGGTAGAATTCTTCCAAGTTCTTCATTGTTTGCGTTGGTGGGTAGGCATATAATTCGGAATAATAGTTGTTTAATTGATCTTGTTGGCTTATAGATGGTATCCTGTCACATACAGCATAGTACTGCAAGGTAGATCTTGAAATGCTTTCGGTTTGTTTTTTAACAATGAGTGGTGTGCCAATACTCTTGAGTTTGTCACTCCTGGCATAGTAAACCATATATATGAATGTCATTTTCACAATTGCCAACAACAGTCCAGTTTCAGTTCACTGACTCGTAGGATATCATTCTTCATGTATTCCATCTCATTTTTGAGAATTTTCAGTTTTCCTGGATTAATATTTTCTACAGTCCATGTTCCAATGACTATTAAATGTTGGCAGTGCTGCTTCTCATTTTGAGTTGTGCCCCATTAGCAAATGAAGATCCCACAGCTTTGCTCCATCATCCACATCATTAAGCTGGACTCTACTTTGAGAACGCAACTGTTGTTTCAAGGGCCTCCCAACCTGAGGTGCTCGTATTCCCACACGATATCAGACAGTGTTCCACTTTTGTTCGTAAGGTTTTCAGTGGCTAATCCCTCAGAAGTGGGCTTCCTTCCTAGTCTGTCATGGTGGGAAACTGCTGAAACCAGTCCACCATGAGCGACCCTGCTGGGACTGGAAATGCAAGTCGCAGAACTTCCAGCCTCACAGCAACATACAAGCCCCATAGCATGACAAACCGACAGCCAGGCAGCGGTAGGCTTCTATCGCAGCCTTAGCCTTACGTGATGCCTGCTTTATAGTACAAGCTATTTGACTGCAGAGTTCCTCGGGAAGAGGAGAAGGAAAGGATTTCTTTTTGTTTTTAATTGAGAAATCTTGGTATCGAACATGGTAAGTTTCTTCTCAAGATCCAGGGCACCCAAATGGCCCAGTGGCACTTAAAGGATAACAAGTTGTGGGTGAATAAGTGCCAAATTACCAAAATGCATGGAAACAGCTAAAATCTAGGAGAGTGGAGAGTATTGTTAGTGTCAGAGTGGTATAGTTCTGTGCTTTTCAATTTGGTAAATGACTAAATGTACACATTGTCAAGCATGCACAATGTATTGTAGCTAGGGAGTTAACTGTAAACTCCTTGACCTTACAGGCCATATCTCACTCAACTCTGTGTCTTAGAGAGTATATATCATAGTCTCTTAGGCATGGTACATGTACATATGCATTAGCATTTGAATACTAATTTTATTCACGAATATTTCTTGAGTGCCTATTATATGCCTTGGACTGTTCATATGAAAGTTGGTGGTTCAAACTCAGAAGCCGCCCCATAAGAAAAAGTTGAAGCTTTCTTGCTTCCATAAAAAGGTACGGTACCACCTTGGAAACTGAAGCCCCTATGTGGGGATGCTATGAGGTGGGGTAAACTCAGTACTCAAAAGAACACAAAACTTCACTGCCATTGAGTCAACTCCAATTCACAGTGGCCCTGTGGGTTCCTGAAGCTGTACATCTTTATGGGAACAGAAAGCTGTGTCCTCCCAAGGAGTGGCTTGTGATTCAAACCACCAACTGTGCACTTAGCAGCCCAATGCATAGCCACTGTGCCACTGGGACACCTAATTGATTTGATATAGCAGTGGGTTATTATGTGCCACCACTGTTTTAGACACTAGAGATACATCAACAACTCTCCATTAACACAAAGAATATCAGTCTTTATATCTTGCTTTTCTCTGTCCTTCATCCTCTCCCAAAACAAGTAGTTCTTAACTTGGAGCCTGTGATACCACCAACTTCCTTCCCTCCCCCCTGGAAAAAAAGAAATTCCATGGAT